TTTCAGAACATGAAACTAGCGATTTTACTACATGCCATGTTTGGAAATGTGCACTTTAGACACAACGATGAATTTCGATAGACCGAAAAGTAGTATCTGTTTATAATTTTTATATCAGAACGATTTATGGTTTTTAAATTAACAAAAGCAAATTCCTAAAATGTGTTGCTAATTTGCTTTAGTTTAACAGCGCTGTAACTAGGATCTGCATTATCATCTACTTTGTATATGAATTGTGATACTTAATTACTTATTAAGATATTTACTATAATCGGTGATTCGATCCTAATAAGCTTATTAACTGAAATGCGCATGATTAACTATACTATGCACCAATAACACCTGAATAATGTCCCTATTCAAGTGTTCATGGATGATTATAAGTTACGATTTTAAAGGGATTGATAATTACATATGTTCATTATTAAAGATAAATTAGAAATCAATTTTATTTCAGACATAGGCGTTACCGACGGTAATTAGTAGCGCTTGCTAGCGCTATATATGTGATACGTAAAAATGCTACACTCTGTTTTATTATAATATTGAGATAATTATTAATATTCTGGCCAATTTATATATTCTGACGATAACGCAGGTGCAAATTAGGACTGGATGGATAATTCAACTTGTCTACTTGCGAAAGTGTCAAATTTGGAGCATAAATATGATTGACTAACTGGTCACTTTCGTTCACAATGAGTGGAAAGGGTCACCCACAACTGCTATTATAGTATAGCTATAACTATATTTAAAGCTATTCAACAACTGCCAGTGCTATATATGAATGGCTATATCGGTTCACAATGAACGAGAATAGTGACGGTCAGTATCCGTTCATTATACGGTATAGCAATATTTAAACTCGGTAATGCGACTGTATTATGCTGTTCATTATACGTGAAGCAATAAGCAATAAATAACTTATATCTATAAAAAAAACATAAAGATATTTTATTTTAGTATATTGTTATTATTAGAAGATACTAGTACAAACTCACGTCGCTTTGCTGACGGTTTACGATAATGTACTTATTTGTTAATAATTAACAGATAGTATTACCATTCGACATTATTTATATCCCGGTAATAGCCAGGCACTACTATATTCACAGCTATGCTTGTAGAATACTACTTTTCAATAATGCATTCACGGATGAAATGCTATATTAAGATTAGTTGATGGTCCAAAGCACATTATGATAACTAATGTACGGTGATAGACATACCAAGTTAAGATTAGTAGGTACTGAAAGATATCGACAGTGCGGTACAATGTCCTTGGTACTGTGGTCAATTCTATATCAATCATTATAATGTGTCTAAGGGATCGCTTGAGTATGCAAGTAAAGCTTGCTCTGTTGATAGAAACTGTTATAAGAAAATGTAACAATCAAAATGGCTGTGTAGAAAACTCTATAAAAATTCTATGTTTATTCAATTTTCATCAGAATATTACATCAAATCAAAATTTAAAGGCCCAGTGGCCACCCTTAGTGATATAACGAATACTATTTTAATAATCAGTACTCTGCAGAAATTACTACTTTAGAGCTATTCGTTTTACATGAAGAAATCTGGAGGTAAAAAGTACTGTAGGAATCTTATACTGACCTATTGAAATGAACCCATAATCAGAGTCATCGAACAGTAGTATGATGAAAAACTCTACAGTATACGTATAGTAAGAATAGATATGGATAGCTAAATATGCACAGTGACCGATATATACAGTATAATAGCAATTCCCGTACACCTCGAACAGATATAAAGAGGCATATATATCAAAATAGTTTTGAAATCAGATATAAGGGTTCACTTTCAAAGATAGATCATGCTCGATGAGAGTTGATAAGCGGTAAATGGTGGAATGAGTAAGCGTAACAACCAGCCAGTCAGCCAGCTAGCCAGGGAGACAGCTTCTCAAAAGTATATATATTTATAAGATAAGGTAATTTAAATTTAAATTATGTAGGTGATGAGTTATACAGTATTCAATATATTAGATGCAGATTATCATTTGTCAAATTTGAGTATAAATATCATTGACAAGGCAATTTAAATTATGTTGTTGATAAATTATACAGTGTGAAATGTATTAAGTAGAGAGCATCATTTGTCAAATTTAAGTATAAATATTATTGATAAAGTGATTTAAATTATGTTGGTATTAGTTTAAACATACAGTGTTAAACGTATTAAATAGAGAGCATCATTTGTTAGTAAACAACAAGAAATAGGTGAATAATGACAATTCAGCTTTGAAATTTTTGAATTTCTCATGATCTATTTACATGTACTAAGATTTACCTCAACAGTAGAATTGCCATTTATCGAATATTCATCTTCTATTAGGTACTACCGTATAAATTAAGCTTTAATATAACTTACAAAAGATACATTGAAGACATGTAGCCTAGTGCAAATAATCATTAATGAAAATTTAGTGTTAATGAGGGTAACTGCTACTACTCTAAGCAATACATTATAATTGTTATACGATTATGATACAGATAGTCCACTCAGTGACCTGTTTAGCGTTAATACAACGTAGTTTAAATGCTAAGAAATATGGGAATCTCG